ATGAAGTGTTTTAGGCTTCAGGTTATAATGAAGGAGGAAAAAACACTAATAGAATAATGATAAAAATATGGATCACTCACAGGTAGCTTTAATTATCTAGACAGTTGTTGAGCATCAAGCTCAGAAAAATATTAATCATCAAGGACATTCTTGAATTATATACAAGATCATTTAAAGATGCAGAAAATAGAAGAACAAGTCAGAGGAGACTTTACTTAGGTTCTTGCACTGTGCTGTCATGGAGGAAATGACCAAGAAAATGCCTATAACGGAGGAGGCTTGAAACAACTACCTAACAATTACATGACTTCATAAGTTAATTACTATAGCATGAATATACTTTTATTCATAATACTGGACACTGAAATTTAACCAAGCTTGGAGAAAAAACTAGCTGTATAACATGAAGCTTCTAAGAGGCTTAAATATCTTTTTGCATCCTTATTCAGGTTAACCTTCCCATTTTGTTATATTCCACCTTATTCCAGTTCATACTTTCCATTCACCCTTGGTGTTTGTATTAATTTTTGAACATAGTTTGATTTCAATTAAAAATTGCCTTGGAGGTACATATACTAAAGCTATTACGTCGGAATGAAAAAGTTACATAGTTCATTTGAGGAAAATATGTGGCAACGGTATCTTTCACTTCAAGAGCATTGCCCTCACTTCCTTTCCCTTTACAACAACTGTCATCTGCTACATATCAACATATAGTGGCATTTTTTATTTAACAGCCACGATGATTGCAAAAGAAATGGAAATCACCTTCCGAGGCTACAGTAGCTTCCATAGACTTAGGAAAGTAACTGCTTGGGAGAATGTTTTCAAGGTTAAACATTTGAGAAGCGTTTTGGATCATTGGTTTAAACTTACAGGGTATAATTCAACTGTAGCTGTAGTTTGACTGGCAGCTCCAGTTGGGATGTTCATCCAGCGGGGACGTTCAGGCTCATCTGCATCTGTTAAGTATCCACAAGGTCACTAGGATATCTGCATCAGCTGCAAGGAAACAACAGTCTCTGAAATCTGCATATTGCATATTATATCCTGTGTGCATAAATCATTCTAGAAAGCTTCCATGTTTAAGTTATTGTTATGACTTTTCAGCTGTTGTATGTGTGAAATTACTTTTTTGGTTTATGTGCATTAGACTGGCTTGGTAATCAATGCAGTCATTATATGGAGCTTGTGAACTTCCATATTGTTCCTACAAAACTGGACTTGAGTGACAATCACTGAAGCTTTTGGTGTCTTCACTTATTATGCATCCTTCATGTACAGTTTTGGAATTCTCCTACAGGCCATGTTTGAACTGGTCACTTCAGAAGCTTCATACTACAAGAGCCTGAATTTACTGATATATCATTTCATGGAAAATGAGCGATTGAAAAAGTTTCTGCATCCCTCAGAGGCTCACATTCTCTTCTCCAATGTTCTGGATGTCATGGCTGTTAGTGAGCGGTAAATCTCTTAATGTTTATTATGAAAAGGAATTAACTCTTGTCAGGATTTCCCATCTTTCTTTAAACATTTTGCTTTCCCAAAGAAAACATTGTTGCGTGTTGTGCTTTCTTTCCACATCCCTAGTTTATAATTTTTAAATTAATGTTTTCTGTTGTCTGTGTCTCGATAATGAAACAGCGCAGTTGCTAAATCCCATATAGTTGATTTACAGAATCTCTTGTTTGACACCAGAAGCAACCACATATATAACCCATACAGTCTGTTGGAAACAGGATTCTCACACTGTTTTGAGGATGTGGTTATGATAGGTGAAAGCATTTGCAAATATCTTGAGGGGCCAGCAAGGTTGTTAAGAACTTGGTTGGCCTCTTCCCTATCCTTATAACCATGTATCATAGAATCACAGAATATTAGAGTTGGAAGGGGCCATGAAGGCCATCAAGTCCAACCCACCATATAATTCTATCCTTCTTTTTGACCATATCTAAAAGTAGAAATACTGGCATTCCTTCAGCAAGCTCTCAGCTGCATTTAGTTTTACACAGCCCTGTAAGGCAGGTGTTCAGAACCTTAGGCCTACCTGAAGGCCAAATTCCACCCCAGATGGCCACTCTGTTATCTGGGGAATGCTAGGAGTTGCTGAGCCATTTTTGGTATCAATTACATCTTAAATCCTTTCAGCAAGTGCAAGCAATGGACTTGATTCAGAGTCGGCATTTATGCATTTATTATTAGACATTTCACAACTTCCTATCACCTCCCTAAAACAAGCAATACTTGGAAACCTAAGTCACGGCTCTTTTAATTCTTACTTTGTGTTAGTTAACTATGTCTGCTTTGGATACTGATGTAAATTATTAATCCTGGGTTTCTTATTTAGCTTCCTATTAGATCTTGAGAAGCGTGTAGAAGAGAACATTGTAATCTCAGATGTCTGCGACATTGTGTATCAGCATACTATTAACCATTTCTCAGTGTATGTAACCTATGTCTCCAACCAGACCTACCAAGAGAGAGCATACAAGCAACTTCTGTGAGTATAATTAGTATTCAAGTATGGCACAATTATTAAACTCATTCAACTGCAATATAGCAACTGACTAGTACAGGCCAAATGTTGAGAGCTTATGTTCACTAGCGTTTAAGAAAAACTCATTTTTTTCCAAAGCATAATTATATGCTAACTCACTAATATCAATTCATACTAGGAACAAAAAAAAAAAAGCGATAGTCAGAGATCTAGTCAGAAGGCTGGGAATTGGTATGGAATCTGTTGTGGGTTATTTCTGCCCCTTAGTCTGCTTTGCACAATTTTTACAACGGGGTACTCCAGGTGTGAACTTGTGATTCACTGAGTTGCAAGGAAAGCTATGGCTGAATCCATCAGCACAAGAAGTATTGTATCCTCCATGTCTGTGCTAATGATTTTCGAAAGGTTGGTGTCATTTGGACTGGATTCAGATTTATGCTGAATAAAGTGTGCTCATGGAATTGAACTTTCCTGCCCCCTCCTTCCCACACCAGGCCCTCTAGCTCCCTGAAAATGCTACACACGGTGTCAGAAGACCATGCTAAATGAGATGAATTGTGATGTGGCAGGTAGGGGAGATCCCCAAAACTGAGGGAGAAGGACCTTCTGCAAGCAGAGCCCCTTCTTTCCTGGAAGGTTTCTTACTCTTATGAAAGGCAGATCCTGGATCCAGCCTGAGATATATAATTTAAATGACGTATCTGGCTAGCTTCAGCCTACATCCCAGAAAAACAAATATCAGTGTTGGAACTGTCAACATGTAATCATCCCTGTTTCTTATGAAAAAAACCCTAAAAAATGCACTCCTCTTTCATCTTCCTTTAAACAACTCTACTTGATTGCCATCCCATTCAAACCCTTGATTATCAAGTGGAAAAGGGACAATGTTTATTACAATAGATGGAATATTACTGCATAATTTCTGATCTATGGTGATGTAATACTTCTAGAATTCTTGATTAGAGCTATGCTTACTCCTTGAAGGTTATTTAACAATGCAGTTCTAAGTCTGTCCCACTATGTTCAGTGAGCACCTAATACATATGTTCAGAATTACAGTCTAAAAGTCACATTTCTCCATCTGTAGCAGCCTTGCATCAAATGTAGAATCTGGTTTTAGATGTTCTCTCAAGTATATTTTCATATATATTTTGCATGTCAATGAATTCAATTCTATATAATTGCAATAAGCTAGGGAAATTTAATTCATGTTAGCTATGGATTATCTCTGCAGTATTTCCATGAGAAATAATTGTTTCAGCAATGCTTAGGTTACAATGGAAATATACTGCTTATGTCCAAAAAGGAGGCAAGAAACTACATTATTAGATGCTTTTGCAGTCTTCCTAATTTAAATGTAACTGTAGTTGATTGATGGGTTTGAATATTTGTTGTCTGCTAGGCTTTCTAATGAGATTTCTCAATGCAACTGTTTGGATTTGTTAGGGGTCATTGTAAGGGAAGGAATGGGAAAGTCTCCAAAAAAGGAAAGGATTATGAAAGCTGAGAAACATTTATCTTCTTATTTGAATATGTGTCTGAAAGTGTCCAAGTAATTCCATATTAGATTCCCTATCTTATTCATGTTTACGATGGACACTTTGTCTTTCTTCTGAGAGAATAATAAAGTAACAAGCTATTGATCTACAACCATTTTGGTAAGCTGAGAAACCTAGTAATTCATCATGTCATATAGTCATTCTTCCTATTATTTCAGAGACCTACATTATGCCCAAAGAGAGAGAAATAAATACTTAAACCAAATCAGTCTCTACAAGGACAGGCACTGAAGACCAATTCGTAGTAACAGGACATATTATGTACACTGGAAAACTCTCACAATCCCCCTTCTTCCCTTCCATTGCTATTTAGACAGAGGAGCTTCTTAATAGTAGGCAATTGGATCAGCATTTTTTAGGGCTCTGTGACTGACAAGGGATGGAAATGGAAGTTGCTTTCAGTTAAAGAATATTTCTCACATAGGAAAAACATATTCAGGAAATGTTATAAACCATGCTGTAAAGAAACTATATTGAGGTAGAACTTAGTAAATAATGCAATACTTCAGCTCTTTTTTGCATTAGCTTCTGATCAAGAGGCAGAAGCATAGTGCATTGGGTTTTCAATTGGGTTTTCCCCTGTGTTCCTCCAGTTGAAGCCGCCCTAGCCATAAGGGTCAAAACAACAATAGAAATGAAATATGGAGATAACCTGAACTCTTTCAGAGAAAACCAAAGTAGAAATGTAGTTCATTGTTTTCTCAGTTGTGTGTGTGATGCATAATCATACACCTGCGCCCAATTCCAGGGCTAATTCATAGGCCTGTTGTTGCACACCTTCTTCCCTCGGCTTTAGAAAAGCATTTTGCACAGCTTAGGTAGCTTTTGCACCAGGCACAGTATCTGCAATGGTTATTGCTACGTCAGTGCTTTTGCCTGGGGGCTTGGGTGTTTTGTACTGATGTTGGGACTGCGATCCTTGTAATAATTACTTTGTTTTTTATATGAGAGGTTTCCAGATAGTATACACTAGTTGTGAACAGAACACTTTCCTCACATTAGTGCCCTTTTTGTCAGTGAGCTTTCCTGCAGCGTAAATGAAAGATGATGAGCTGTTTTTCTGTAACACTGAATTCACATTAGCAGAATTCACACTACTGCAGACCCTGGCAGATCTTCAGTAGTTTCCCTCCCATGGCAAATGAGGTTTTCATCCTGTCATTTCCAGCTAGGTCTAGCTTGGTTAAATCACTTTATAGAAGGCCTTGTTCCTATGACTATACGTATTTCACCTTACCACAATAATCCAACTGTGTAAAGATGTATAATTATGCCTCTGACTCATCCACTTGGACACACACCCCATTCTCGCACACCCACACACACAGCATATGCTGCTAAGTCTGTATATGCTACACATGTGAAACCATTACTCTGGCTTGCACATTAAAACCTATTTTTCCCTTTCCCACTACTATAAATAGATCCATCCTTAAATCCAAATTCACTTAGTGCTAATATTTTTCTCCCCAAAACTCTCTGAGCCACATAACCAGCTCTGAGGAAGGTTGTGTCATGGAATAAAGACCCACGTAAAGCAGGTTAGTTACTCACATGGGTTTAAATTGTAAGGAAATAACAGACACCACTCTCCATCTGTCTCTATTGTCAGCCAGGACAAGCCAGCTTTCCGGGAGGTAATCACACAGTTGGAACTGGATCCAAAATGCAAAGGCCTGCCTTTTTCATCATTCTTGATTTTGCCTTTCCAAAGGATCACCAGGCTGAAGCTGCTGGTACAGGTATAACACATTATACTTTTCTTACAGTCGTTTACTTGAACACCATCCCATTATGTCCTAGGTTGAGTTACTATGAAAGGAAAAGCCACAGAAGACCATTCCTTTCTGGGAAAGGAGAGAAGGAAATAGGGTTTGCCTAATAAAGTCACCTGGCTTTGCAGTGAATGGACTGCAAAGCAATAAACTAGTCGCAAAGTCTTCCCATGGTGGCTAAAAATGTTACTGCTTGCCTCAATCCAATAGACATATTCAAATTAATTAGACCATTACTTTAATGATTTGATTCAAATAACCATTGACCTCAGGATGCACACCATAGAGTTCCCTTTGTTTCAAGTGTCTAGATTACATGGTACTGATGTGGAGACACTGACAGATAGATGGGCAACAACTATCTGAACTAGAATTTGAGCTAAATTTTTTAAATGTAAGTGACAGTCGAGCCCATAAAAATGTTCTGACGTACTCTTAACTGTTAGAAGGACTGTGACTGTTGAAATTTTTATTCTAGTATAAAGTTAATAATAATCCTTCTTCTGTTTATTCTTGTGCAGAACATCCTGAAGAAAGTGGAAGAAAAATCTGAACGTGAAATCACTGCCCTTGAAGCTCACAAGGAACTGGAAACAGTAAGTCTGAACTACCTAAAATTTGTCAGAATGCTTGCAGTTTTCACAAGCTATTCTGAAGCACTTCAATTAATCTATATGAGGTAAATTCAGTGCATCTGAATGAAATTGTATTACCCTAAACTATTCTCTTTTTTCAATTCTGGCTTTTAAGCAAACTATTCTACTACTTGTCTGAACAAGCACTGTTGAGTAAGAATTTACAGTGCAATCCTTACTCCACAACGTTGATGGCTGGAGGGGGTTAAGATGTAGTAGTAGCCTTTGACGGGTTGGAGTAGAGGCCACTACTAACCCCCAGAGAGGCAAAACCACCACCACCCGCACACCAGACTGTATGGTTTGTGGGCAGTTTGGGATCCACTGTGTCCAGTGCCCCACAGATTCCCCAAGGGGCTCATGCAAGGAAGGGGATGCCCCACCCATCTTCCAGCATGGCCAGCATGCACCAACGAAATTTGGTGGTGTATCTGCTCCCTGCCCCCTACCCTCAGGCTGTTAGGCTTGCTGTTTTCATGCTTAACTCTGTATATGTTTTTAGTGTCAGATAGGAATGCCTTTGGAAAAGCAAGTTTCTGAAGATAAGTTGCCTCAGACTTCAGAGTGCAAAAGCTTTTGTCAGACATTTGAAGGTGATAGAATCCATAGAGAGCAGTAATATAATTAGCTGCCACCAGAAGCAGACTGTTAGTAGGTCAGGTTTCATCCAGAAGTGCAGCCTTATTTTTCTGACCCAAAACTGTGGGTCATAAAATGCCTTTTTATGAGTGCCCCAACTCATTTTGAACTCCACTTGTAGGAGGCTTCTGAGCCTGTTTGTTGCATGTCTGAATACATATTTTGGGGCTAGGCCAAATTACAAAGTACAATTAGGCTAAAGCAGGGGTGGGGGGACGTGGTAGGAGGGTATCTGCCCTTCCTGTCCAAACAATGTAGCAGCCGTACCGCCACTCTTCCCATCTACCCATGTAAAGACAGATGGTCTGCCTACCATATACATATGTAAGCCAAAATTGCACAGTTGATTCTGTGGGGAAAAACTGGTGATCCACTGCACAATTTTTAGAGCAAGGTGAAGGTTATCTAGCTGTTCCCAACATTCCAAGTATTTTTTACTTTCGCTTGCTCCAAAATGCAATTGGAGAGGTAGCACACAAAGATGAACACCCACTACTTTCATGCAAGTGGGAATTTCTGAAGATGCTGAGGTGGGCTAGATTTAGAGTTTTGGGACGCACTTCCACCGATTGACAGAGTCTTGTTGGCAAGAAATAATGCTATAAAGTAAAGGGACTTCCTCTCTTACCTCAGAGTGACCTTGCCTTTCTGCGGAAGGAGGGCTACAACAAAGCAAGTCTTCAATCTCTTTGCACCAAACAAAACAAAACACAAAACAAAACAAAACAGAGACTTCTATCTTCCCCTTCCCCCTAGGCAGGGAATGGAGCACACTTTGCCAATTCGGGCATTCAGTTTTTGGAACAGTCTCTTTTCCCCTACTTTTCCCTGGCTTCCACTCCTGTGATGCACCAGCAGGACACTACAGAGGCAACAAAAGTAATTGTGGACATCAGGTGGTTCCACAGCTCTATTTTTCTGCTAGCCTGAAAACAAAGGAGAGAGAGGAGGACAGTCAGTAAACTCTTCTGGAAAGAATGGACTACGTTCACAAACAGGCCTGCCCTCCAATTCTCATGGCCTCCACAAAGACGAAAGTGATAATGCTTACATATATCTCTGTGCCACAGGCTCAAGACCTCTGGTCTTGCAGTCAGAATTTCCATCAAAAGCCCCCTCTTTTGCAAGGGCATTGTCCCGTGGGCCAAGAATTTAGCCTAGATTCCATTTCAGCAGCTCTGCTCCCAAGGAAATCAAGATCATTCTCCTGACTGCCTTCCTCCCAGGCTGTCCTTCAGTTCTCATTCCCAGGTCCAGCTGTGATTTTTGCAGCATGAGGGAATGCCTGGCTATATCACTGGCAAGTAGACAGTCTCTCAGGCCTGTTCACTTCAAAACTGCATAGACTTCAGTAGCCCATATTTCATAGTAGAGCATATGGAAACTTATATCCTAAAAGAAACCCCTTATAGAGAAATATGGTTTAAATAGGTAAAAGTTCTCATTTATCTCTAATTTCTGCCATCCTGGAGAAGTTACAGCTTTTAATCTGCTACTGCTCAAATATTGTATGATAATGTGAAACTCTAACAGATGTCTAATTTAAACACGCATCATACTTTCAGGTGTATAGTCCAGGAAAGGTTTTTCCAATCCCTGGTGAATCAATTTGTAGAAACCTGTGTTTGCATCAGGCAGAAATCTGACTCTGACAAAAGAAGCCTGTTAATGCAGATACTGGAGGGAGGTGGGCCTTAGTGGGTCTCAGGGTCCTCACTTCAAGATGGACCAGCAGCTGCACTCAGTGATTCAGACTAATTGACATTCTGGGCTCACTGGACATTGTTTAACTGGGCAACATTTTATGCCAGGCAGCATTTTGAATAGGCATCCCCCAGTTAGAACATGGAAAAAGCCATGCTGGATCAGAGCAATGGTCTATCCAGTTTAGCATGTAGTTCACATGGAGGCAAACCACTTGCACACAGGATCCCTAAAGCAGGATGAGTGCAAGACCTCTGCCTGCCCAAGTTCCCCAGCAACTGTCTGATAATGAAGCTAGCAAATAGTCAACAAGCCTAGTAGCCATTGATGGCCTTCTCCATAAATTTGTCCAATCCTCTTTTATATTGTTATTTAATTTATATTGTTATTTTATATTTTATATTGTCATTATTGTAATTTTTATTATGTTGTAAGCCGCCCTGAGGCTTCGGCGACTGGGGCGGCATATAAATGTTTTAATAAATAAATTAAATAAATAAAGCCACCCATATTGTTGGCTATCATGACTGCCTGTTTAATCCCATGTGCTGTGTGTGAAAAAAATACCTTCTTTTCTTTGTCCTAAATCTCCTACTAATCAGCTTCATGGGGTGGCCACAGGTTCCAGTATTATGTGAGAAAGAGAAAAAGCATCTCTGTCTCTACATCCTCCATACCATGCATTATTGTAAACACCTCTGTCTTGTCTCCCCTCACTCACCTTTTTCTAAGCTAAACAGTCCCAGTTGTAACTGTTCCTTGTAGGTGAGTTGCCCAAGCCCTTCCATAATTTTAATTGCCCTTCTCTGCATTTTTTCCAACCCAATACTGTTCTTTTTCAGGTGTAGTGACCAGAATTGTACACAATCAGTTTGTAATAGGGTTCTGTGAGGATTGTTTAACTCTCAAATAACCCATGTTGGCCAGGTTCACACAATATAGCAACCCCCAATCAAGGGGACATATGTTCAAGGTGTGGCCTAAAACACACTTCAGTTCACTGTGCATTGAACAACCCATGCAAACTGACTTGTGACATCTTTTGCCTAAAGTCATTCTGTGGCAAAAACTGTATCACCCTGCCCAAACTTCTGTGATCCTTGCTTGTTTTCTATGAATAACATTTGGACCCTGTTTCTTCCATCTGTTTGCCTCCCTTTTCTTACCAGGGTGCACAGTGCTATGATTTCCTTCATATTAATTGTGGCTTCAGTTCAAATCAAAATCCTGGGACAGGGAATCCTTATATCTAAAGCACTTTTATTTCTCTTCTTCCAGGTGGTGAAGGCATGTAATGAAGGTGTTAGGAAGATGAGTCGTACAGAACAGATGATCAGTATCCAGAAGAAGTTAGAATTTAAGATTAAGGTATAAGTATAGTTTGTAAATCTTGAGGAGAGGGAACAGACATCTGCTACAGTGCAAAATCATGGAATACATTTGTACATTGTCCATAATTACTTTATTCACTAAATAAATAATTTTTAGTACTGCAGAGAACAGCAACCAACTCTGACATTCCATGATACTGTGCTCCATTTGCCAGGCTTCCTTACTACTTGTAAAGACACTAAAACCACCCATTCACCACAATTTCTTTTTCTATTACTTAAGCTTCTAGATGAAGCTTTTATTGGGCAATCACCCGGCCTCAAACATGGAATTTGCTGCAGAATCTGGATGCTTTCCTCTACCATATGTAATCCTTCCATATTTTCCCACTGCTGCCTCCATGTGTAAAAATAAATAAATAATACATAAATAAATTGATCTGTTAAGGGGGAAAAGATGAAATAGCACATCTTTTTTACTGGTAGTGCTAAGAAGCCTTCTGCTTGGAAGCACTGTAAAACATAGAATGCAAACAATGCAGCAACAGATTATATATGCAAAAATGCATTATATATCTGAAAAAGACTCCAAGAGTCCCATGAATTGTTTGTATTCCTTAGAGCTGACTGATAGAATCAAATGAATGTAAATTTATAATATTTTATGACATATGAAGGAAAACAAACACAGACCAAAACCATTGACGAATAAAGAATGGGGGTATATTTTTTAAAAAAAAAACTTTTTACAACAGCAATACACACACACATGCATCCACACACACAGATGATTGTCATGATTAGGCTTTTCATTAAATAGCATCCAGTGTTTCACAGAAGTATCAACTTGGCATGTTTCCCAGAGATGAATATAATTTGCCACTTCTGTCAATCTCATCTATCCGCAGATCCTCATCAAAGTGCTTTAAGCTGTCTTTTTGGAATTCTCTGCCAAATTACTTCTAGCTATGCAAAGTACATAGTCACAAAGAACATTAACTGGTCTAGTGGTAATTCATAGAATTGGATTCAGATTTAGGGAACGATCTTGTCTTTTGGTCAGAGCGCTTTAACAGTCGGAAAACCCTGCCATGCTTCTGCCAGCAGGGCAGAATTGAGGGAGGAGCAGCATTTGGTGTAGCAGGAGATCGTTTTTATGTTTTTGCACTGTGGAACAGATGCATGCATTCCTTGCCATCGTCATCATGTCCTTTGCTTTGTCTTTGACCAAGGAATGTTATCTTTGTTCAGCTTCTCAGTCCTCTTTCCCTCATTATTTCTATTCTGTTAACTCTGTTTTATCTTTACCTTGCTTTACTCAATTGTTGTGTCTCCATTGTTTCTAATATAAGGTAGCTCTCCTTGAGTCTTTCTATTCAGTCATCTTCTTTATAGTTAGCTATTTGCCACTTTCTCATGTCTCCCATTGTTTCCTGCTTCTCTTGATCTCCCCCACCCCACCCCAACTCCTTCAAATCTCCTACTTGTTTCCTTGACTTGTCCTTTTGTTTTTATGCTAAATTGCTGCTTTGCGAAATCCTCCTTTGTGTATTTGTAATTGCTTTCCTACTGTAATTTTCCTGCATCCTGCAGGTTATTGTTTGGATTTTACTACTTTGTCCATGTAAAAACTGAATTTAGTGCACTCGCTTTCGCTTGCTCTCTCTCTCTCTCTCATTTCTGATTTCACAATTTCACCAGTGCCTGTTGCTGTGATCAGTAATGATGTTGCTCAGAATTTAGGTGCTTTGGTTGTTTCTTGCCTTTCCTTTAGTCTCATGTTTTAGCTTGCCAAAACATGTCACTACAAACTTTGTAATTTCTGTGAAATTCAGTGTTTCCGCTTCAATAGATTTGGCTTATTCTTTGGTTCATTCTTTAGATTTATCGTATTCTTTTTCCTATATTTCTTTCTTGCTAGTTTGCATAGATCCTATCTAAAGCCCTTTATTTCAGTTTTTCTGCTTGGCTTTAATAGTGTTGTTTAACCAGAAGGACAAAGGGGGAACAGATTTCCCTTCCCTGCTCATCAGGGTTTGCTTTATTTGATCCAGGGGATTGGGGAATCTCTTCAGAACAGCTTTGGGGCATAGGAGAGAGGAAGGGGGGAATCTGCTCCTGTAATAATTGGATTAAGTCTTCATTAGTTGCTCATTTTAACTTTTTTGCTTGGAAAGATGATACCATTACTACTTTGATGCTCTCTCTTCATTGATTTCCATTTCATTTTCATATCTAATTTGCTATTTACTTTCTAGTATAGTAATTCCTTTGCTCCCTGAATTCAGTTTCGGGGCTAAAAGTGCCAAAGTCCCCAGTAACTAATTTTTAAAAATTCATCCACATATCAAGGAACAGAAATCAGCTTCTTTGAGGAAAGTGTAGAAGGAAGAAAAAGGAAAATCAACAATGATTCAAAATTCCAAGTAAAAATCAATGAAATTAGCTAGTATATTTTACCAATTTGTATAGAAATGTGGCTTTCAGAGTATGAGCAAAATTTCTTGTAAAGCAGGTTTTTTGTCTGAGAAAATGTCTTAGAACATTGGATTACATGGTTCCATGAAGAAAAGTACTAAGGTTACATGTCACCTATATGAGCATTTGAAACAAGTAAAAGCTAGCATTTCAGTAGAAACAGATTGTTAGTTTGACCAATAATAAGAAATGGTTTCCAATTAAAGTGTTCTAGATAGACAATTAGAAAATGATTTAGAGTTTGTGTTTAGCTCCTTAATGACTTTGGATTTACATTGCAAAAGAACTAGCTAGTTTCAATTAACTAAGATTTTGTAAAAGGGCATTTACTTCAGAAAGTATATTGGGTAACCAAAGATAAGATATTTGTCTTTTGGGGTGACTTAAGGTGTCACTGTTGCTTTTTTCAGGATATAGGGGGACGTGACACATTCCCAGTGCCTGAAAAAGACCTCCTGCCACGATCTAGTCAATTAGAACAGTCTAAGTTTTAAAAGAACCCCTTAAAACCTATTTCTTTCAGTTTGCATTCTTCTAATTATTGTATTAGAGAACTTTGGCTATGGGGTGGTATAGAAATGAAATTAATATCATCATCATCGTCGTCATCGTCGTCTTCCCATCTACAATCATTTCTTTTTTTCTTTCCTTGTCTTCTATCACATTATTTAACTGACCAGATTGTAAACCATCAGACAGACTGCATGTTCTCTTTTGTTCAGCATCTAGTACATTCCAGGTGCTTAATTAATGTCAGTAGTGCCATTCCCACTGGCACGATTAGACCGCTGAAATTGTGTCCCTTTTTTGTAACGCTGGAGTATCTGCTATATGGGTTGCATATACTTTAGGAAGGTCTTCACCTCCACCATGATAGTGAATGCAGATTAATTAGTATAAAGTGCTGTGTTGCAGTGTTCCTGATCAGTACTTTATTTCTTTCATTAGTCCGTGCCCATCATCTCTCACTCTCGTTGGCTGCTAAAGCAGGGGGAACTCCAGCAAATGAATGGGCCCAAGACATCGCGTACACTTCGTACAAAGAAACTCTTCCGAGAAATCTACTTGTTTCTCTTTAACGATTTGCTGGTGCTCTGCAGACAGATTTCTGGGTGAGTTTGAAACACAGAAGCAGAATTTGGGCTGCAGAATCCTAAACTGTATATATGCATTATTTGGCAATTGGATTAGTCAAGAAACTCGGCAGGGTTAATATTTGTTTATCATTGTAACAATTTCCAGAAGGGTAGACCTGTTGGTCTATTGCAGCAAAAACTGCAGAGACCATGTGTGGATCACACACTGCAGGTCATCGTAGCTTGTTTAACCCTTGATGAACTGCAGTGCTCATGGCTGCCAAGTTGCATATCCAGTCCCTACTCAGAGGACTTTGTGTTGTTCGAACTGAGTGAACATGTATAATGCAAAGATTAAACAAAACAGGGTTCAAGCTTACTTAAATCGGTTAATGTGTTTATGTGAGGGTTGTATAACTCATATAACCCACACTCATTGTGTTTACCTGACATAACAAAACCTGGATGGAAGTTGCATATTCAGATAATGGCAGCATGTATCCTGTGCACATCACAGCCTCACTGTGATTAAATAATCACACAAACTGCCCCAGAGAGTCTTTCAGGCGCCACAAAACTTTTTGTTACTTCAGACTAAATGGAAGGAAAGACTTACCCTTCCTTATAGCTCTTATTCGTTGGATCATTGTGCTGATGTGCAATCTGCATCCTATCGCGCTGGACCTTTAGGACTAGTAATTCCCCGCTATTGTCTCCTTCTTAAATTGTTTGGCAAAAGGTCGTTGTTAAGTGGCGATTTTTGTTAGAGAAAGGTTGGAAGGGAAGCCAGGTGTTCAACACTTCTGCTAGTCAATTTTCTTCTATACCTCAGTGTCCAGTAGCTTAGTTTCTTGAGTCATATTCGTAAAATAAACAGAGTCTGGAATGCTGGCATGAAATAAAAGTGGTTGGTGAACTTTTCAAGTGAAAAGTAACTGGCACAAGAAAAACTAAGCACTCCCTTCCCTCTCATCTGTTTTTAGATTTCTTTGCAGTACAGAAGGGCTTTTAAGATTTTCTTACGTGCAGATGCATCAGAATCTGTAGTTTACTCTTTCGATAACAAGCCATGCATTTTTTCCCATTGTTAAAGAGGATCTATCTGGTTCATCTACGGGAAATATATTCTGGCTACATCTGCATCCCATCTTTCAACACACATGCTTTGGACTAATGATTTACCCATTTAATTTCTCTCTCAGTGACAAATACCAGGTGTTTGACTCTGCTCCCCGTGGACTTCTCCGGGTGGAGGAGTTGGAGGATCAAGGACAGAGCTTGGCCAATGTCTTTATTCTGAGGCTGCTGGAAAATGCAGATGACCGGGAAGTCAGCTACATGCTAAAGGCATCATCCCAGTGAGTACAGCCAGACACACATGTTTAAATGTGGAGATTATGTAGATAACACCATTCAGTTTGCTCTCTTGTAATGATTCTAGACTTCTGTGTCACATGGGATAAGCTTAAAGGATGGTAGACCTGAACTCACTGAAGTGCTCTATATGCCATCTCTGAGCTTGTTCTAACATGCATCTGTATCATACAGTGTGTGTGTGTGTGTGTGTGTGCAGGAGGAGGGGAGCATGAAAATGTGTGCGTTTTTTGCAGATCAGTTTTGTGCATCATCAAAATCACTCCCAGTGATCAAAGTATATTGGACATATCTTTCAAATGTATGCATATTCTCATGCACACCTTTCAAATGTACATCTGCCGTCAAATGCACTTTTGGGCCCACAAATCACGGAAATGTAGACTTTTGACTACAGATAAGTCTGTGTTCAGTATGGAAGGTGCAAACTGGGTAAATCTTGATCAAAACCAAACTGCAATTAATGTCTCATACGTCTCTAATATGAGCCAGTAGCCTGGAGATATATCTTTGTGTGTATGCACACTGGTACAGGAGCCACTTCCTGTCACTATAGAAAAATAGAAAATAATTGCTTTCTAAGCAATAAGGTTCCTTTCCAGTTCACTTCTTCCATAGCAAGGTTGGTTTTTCCTGCCTCCTTTGTGACTCTGTGTTGTTTTGCAACCTGGATGCAATGCTTGCTGCTACATTTTGGCCTGATCTTGATTTAAGGTTCTTCCATGTTGGTGATCTGGTTTGGCCTTCAGTTTTAACGCTGACTGGAATGGTTTTGCCCTTGCTTCTGTAGGCAATTAAGCTTTGAATGAATTTGTCACAGGGCCTCCTGTTTGTTCTAAGAATGCTGTAGCGACAAATAGTCTCAATAAGAGGTTGAGGTTAGTCTGAATAAGCTTCCAAGGACCCTTTACAGCCCAGTGCCTTTGACTGCAAGGAGATTCAGGTTCTCTTCCAGTTATGAAATCCTTGTAAGATTGCTGTAAATAGAGATGTCAGTGTAGAAGTCCTAAGGCAGTATTTTAAGACCCGAAAAGAAATAGTTGATGGCTGTAAGGTTGTGGTGTAGTGTTTCAATGGAAGCTGGAATGGTCCAAGAAGGCCTAAGTGATGGGTAGAGAGGACTCATCTTTCTTGCTGATGGTAGACAGCAGTAGATATGAAAGAGGCTTGCGCATGCAGAAAGTCCATCAGTGCTGGAACAGATCTGAAGAAGAGGCAGAGTTTACTTTGTACTCTGCAGGAAATTCTGTAACCCTACAGACTCAACTAGACAATTCACTGGCAGGTTAACGCTGAGAGTGTTTATCCCATGCTTCGCTTTTATGTGTGCACATAAAGCTTATATTCGTAAGTCCTCCGTGACTTCCTTTTGAGTCTTGGGTAAACACTGGAATCCTCATAACTGCTCACCACTCAGAAGTGAGGTGCAAGTGTGTCACATTATTCACATGCCTGCTAGCAGTATAGCAAAATAACTGGGTGGTGGGAGGGAAAACACCATGGAAGGAAGTTTATATTTGAATAAAAGTCTGACTTGTCTTTAACTTAGGGTATGAATAAGGCAGGTGGGTTCAGGCAAATTTGGAGCTCCAAGGCTCCGAATTTGATCCCATCCCATGTCCCTTTGACCTGTAGATAAGTGGCCAACAAAGGGGTTACTTGGTCTCCTTCCAAAACCTCCATGTTTATCATGGATTCTCTGAATCATGTTCCGTTTGACCCTAAGAAGGGAATGGCTGTTACAAGTATTTTCAAAAGAAGTGAAAAATAAGAGCAATATAGCAGTGGAAAGTAGCTGTCTCTGCTCTGTCAAGGATTTCTGAAACACGTCCACGTTCTTTCACTGCAATTCATAGATTTGCCCTGAACACCTTGCTGCATTACCTCGTGCGTGACATTCAAACCAGCGAGTGGGAACAGATGAGTCAGGATGCATAAATGTCTTTTTCATCAGCGACACTTGACAGGTGACAGGCTTGGCTAACAAGCAGCCAGAGATGCGCACATGGATTTTATCTGTTCGCGTGTGGCAAGAGGTGCACCGTTAAGGTGGGGGAGCATTTTGAGGAGCCGTGCCTTAAAATGAGCAAAGTAAACTACTTCAAACGAAACATTAGATCTACAGGAAAGGGGGGGAAATGCTAAAATAAATGGGCCTCTGTGACAGGCTTGGAACAACATGCTACAGCTTGCTGCGGGCACTAGCTTGCATGTGAGTCGTCAGTTGGGGGTTGTCTGGTTGTGCAAACTCAGCAAGTACGGTGGTGCAAAGGTTGAACACCCCTTGCATAGCCCAAACTCTCCAGCGTTACATAGCATGACAACTCCCAAGTGTTAGCTTCATGTTCAAAATGATGCCCACATGCACCACAGCTTCTCTGTGAATGAAATAACCCTCGGAAGACTGTAATGGCATGTGAACAGCCTTTATTTGTCATTGCGGTCATTGAAATGTATAGAAAAGATAGCCAGGATAAGAGCACTCTGATACGCAGAAGGGAGAAAGTGGCATTCGCCTAACGAAGACAATTGTGAGAGTGAAGTTGGCAAGTTAAAATATTAGTCTTCCAACTGACTCTTTCCAAAATCACATGGAAAAAATTAATTGCTGTATTCCCTTCCTTACCTCCCTCACCCCATGCAGGAGTGAAATGAAGCGCTGGATGATCTTGCTGGCTCCAAATCGGCGAACCAAGTTTGTTTCCTTTACGTCCAGGCTTATGGGTAAGGAGGCCAGGGAAGTTGGAGGCAAAATGACAGGTTGCAGGAACATACTTTTTTCCCCTGTTCTAACAGTCTGTTCTAGGATGCCATGGCAGGTTGGCTACTGCTTAATTGAAACAAGATACGTCTGAAATGACGTGCTCTGGTTCAACTTTGTGTTGTCTTCTTAAGCAGCTAGCTTTTGTGAAGATCAGAAGGCAGCCAGTCCTACCTACAGTTACAGAATGGCTCAGTTGCCTGTCTTGTGCTTACCCCCCCCATCCCCCCCCCAATCAGGGACATTTTCAGCCAATATCAAGCTGTGTGTTTAGCTTTTGTTGCAATTTTGTTCAACTTCACTGGTCCATATCTTTCTGCTTCCAGTTCCGAATCAGCTTCATTCCATCCCATGTTTCACCCACATGCAGGGGGCTAAGGTCAATTGACTTCTTCAGTAAAATAATACACTCCCTCAGCCTCACAACAGAAATCCATCAGTGAGCCTAACTGTACTGTAACTGGCCAGCCAGTGTCCTCACCTCATTGAACCATTTACTGAGATGACACAAACTGACTAGGTCACTTTTTTGTAGCATAAAGTGCTACAAGCAACAGAAGCCTGATCAAGGTTATACAGACTATGCCACATTTTCTGGTTGGCTATTTTAGGCCCTGGGCCAGAGAGTCAGCGGATGTGATTCTAAGTCTTTTGCTATTATTCATATAAATGGGAGCCTCGTGAGCATCTAACTTGGCCGCAGGCTCCCAGCTCCAACTTCATAACACTCATAAAGGTTTGGCAAACTGGATTAACGTCCTCTTCCCTGTTGACAGACTGCCCTCAAGTACAGTGCGTCCACCCATACGTGGCTCAGCAGCCAGATGAGCTGTCACTGGAACTCGCGGATGTGCTGAATATTCTGGAAAAGACAGATGATGGTAAGAGCTGTCATCTCAGTGGTCTTTTTTCCTTAGAGTGAATGGTATCTTGAATGCAGAAACATCCATCCAGCAAGTATAACGGGAACTGGATAACTCTTCTAGCCTGCAGGACTGAGGATTGTTAATTGCAATATTCCTAAAATAGTGGGGTGTGGCCTTCTAACTGGGCTGTCCCAAGGAAACGAACAAGAGTCAGGATGTGTTTATGGGGATTTCTCATGCTCTATTTTGAACTTAATGTCCAAAATAACTTGATGGCAAAGCTGTGCAGTCCCAGCGAAGCTACTTTCTTATAATCCTTCTAAACTGTAGCATCTGCCTCAGTTTTAAAAGATTATGCAAGCAGCTTCTGTTAATACATTCTGATCTGATCCATTATTGTTTAAAAAACTTCAGTATTGCCAGGTTTGAACTTTCTTTATATTAAGTTGTCATGGATTTATTGAGCTGCAGCACTACGTGCTTTCCTCTGTACATCACCATCCTTCTTTTTAATCTAGGCTGGATATTTGGGGAGCGTTTGCATGATCAAGAAAGAGGATGGTTCCCCAGCTCTATGGGTGAAGAGATTATGAACCCCAAGATTCGCTCTCAGAACTTGAAAGAGTGTTTCCGAGTGCACAAGTCAGATGACAGCCAGCGGAGGAAAATGGGCAGCAGGAATAGACAATAATCACTGCACACAGTTGTCTGTCCTTTCTCAGAAGCAATTGACAGCAGATGCTGAGACAATGGGAGTCGATACCTAGGAGGTGTACAGGTATCAGCTTTTGACAAAGAAGTTCTTTCACCTCCATACTGGTGGTACTTCTTTGCATACTTGACACAGCATGGATAATCTCTCGGAAGGCAGACTTGAAAAGAAGTGAGACTGCCATGTGCCTGTACAGATCTAGGAGCTGTAAAACTTATTTCCTAGTGTACTTCAAGCTCCAAAGAGTGCAAATCTGTTTGGTGAGAAAATGACGGACACTGGACAACTGGAAAAACAACGCCAAGACCCTGTAGGTTATCATCCTGATTCTATGACAATTTTCCCAATGGTACAACAAGGTGCAGCATTCAATGTTCTAGTGGTAAGATAGAAGTTAGGGAGTTTAGGAGCCCAGGAGCACAACACCTTTGAAACTGTGCACTGTTAACTGTCGACATCCATGCCTATGCACTCAAAAAGTTCCTCTTTAGGAACTGATTTTGGACTGCCTACTGAAGTATCTCTTATATAATGCATCAGAAGAACAGAGGTAAATAAATTACTATAAAGCACCTTATCTTGTTCAAATGTTTCTTAGCATTCATTCAGCTGTACTCTCTAGCTCCCTTGGAGGAAACTTTGGACTTCCAGTTTGCAGATGGTAATAGTAATGAACACTACCCAGGCTGGTCTAAAAGACAGCCAGTTCCAGAGGAACTAAAATCAGTGCAGCTCATAGCCTACAGTTCTCTATCTAGCCCTTCTTAGAGTACCTGACTTAACCAACATACCCAGGCAGTCCAGCGGCCTCTCATTCTGGACTGCATGTTGTATCCAGTAAGAACTATGTGCTTTAAGCAGCCACTAACTAAATCTAAGTATTGCTACAACATTCTCCCCAAAATCTACCACTGGTTACCACAAACAAGTAGTATAGACATGCTGAGAGATGGTGGTACAATCCATAGCATATACGTAGGATTTCCTTTGTCCTAGACAAAGGTTGCACTAAATTGCCCAGGGTAAGTGAACATGGGACAATAGCCCATAACTAGTCACTGCTTGGGTCTGTTCTTCACTGCTTGCATTCTTGGGAACGTCTCATCTGTTGAAAAAAGGAAAGGAAGAAAAACCAAGAGCCATAAGGACAATTGTTGGTGGCCAAATCAAGGCATGAGTGATGTTCTAAAGAGATGCTTTATCTGGGGAGTGAGGGAACTTGTTTGTTGCTTGGCCCACCGCATTCTGTATAAATGTATTGCTTTTCCTTGGTGTATATATGGATTCTGAGCACACTACTTTAAATAATATTTCTGTCAAGTTGAGAGAATTTTAAATGGAATGTATCGTTGCCAGTCTAGGAGGAGTAAATTGAAATAACAATCAAACACTCATGCAAAGCGGTGCTGAGGTGTTGCGTCCTCCCCACCCCTAAACACTTGGGACAAAAGGTGACACACTTTGTATTACTTGTTGTCAGCAAAAGTTACACTAAATAATAAGGCCTCTTGCACATGAGCTGGGCACCTGCTCTCAGCTACATGCGTGAACTCTGTGTATAGTACTTTCAAGCTACTGTATATATGAAAGGTTTTATGAGCCAAAAGGAATAAAGAAGATGCTCTTCCTCTAATACAACAATTATAACCTGGACCAACATACTGCTGGAAAGAAATGGGGGGAGATCCATAGCAAGAATTTATCTAAAGATAATCACTTGGTCAACCATGAGATTGAAAGCAACTGATTAAATTATTGTAAAGCACTTTGCATATTAAAACTGTATATAAATAATTGGTAAGTGTTTGTTCAATTGCAACACTCCTTGAAAGTTCTGCATTAAAAAGAGCCTCCCACAAGGGAAACCGGGGTATGTCTATATTACCATTCTAACTTTCCCAAGGTAGTTCATAATTAGGAATCTGAGGCCTTGGATTATACTTGAGCAAGCGCAATCTGCATCACCTCTGGTGGGCAGCAACTCTTTAAGGTCCCAGACAGATTCTTTTGGATGGAGATGCAGTCAGCCCAGAGAAAAGCCATGCAGCCTGCTTCCCCCTGTGTGGCAAAGGTGCCTTAGAGGGCAGAAAAGGGGAACAGCTGAAGGTCAGGAGTGAGGGGAGCTGGAGCCAAGCACTTTAATGCTAATTCCTATTGCTGGTCCAGCCTCTTTCCTTTCCCTTCTGCAATGCATTATGTAGACAATCGAGAACTGATAAAAATGCATGTGGGGGCTTGCCTGCATCAGATGGGGGAAATAGGATTGTTCCGTAAGGCACACTAAAATACTATGATCTTGATCAATTCAGCCTCTTACACTTGTCAAGAAATGTTTAGCACTAGCACAGCATAACCACAACACTGAGATGTTTAGAAATGATACTGTTACTTTTAAATTCTTTTCCCTGATGTTTGAGGTCACACAATGGCTGCGTCATGTAAAAGATAGGTGATCCTGACAGATCACCACATAACCACAGTTTTGCTAATTTAAGAAAATGGAGTCAATACACTGTAATTTTGCTGTACTTAAGACTATGAAAATGACACAATGTACCAATTTCTTTATAGCCACCTTAGCCAATATTGTGCGATTTCATCTAATTTTTACACAGAAGTGTAGAATTTAGCTTAATCCTTTAGAGGAATGACTGACTGAAATGGCAGAGGGAGAAGTATTACCTTTTCTTATTATAAAAATATAATTTACCAACCTCAATTTCAAAGTCTTAGACTTTCAGTAATTTAATTTGACTTCTCCAGAGGCTAGACTGTACTTAGCCATACCCACCCCCTAAAAGAAATACTAATTTAGGTCACAAGGTAATGTTCCATGCCAGCAGGGCACCTAAGCCTGTTTTTGGCCATCAAAATAAATCACCTGGAGTGGGGAGAGACGTTCTGCTGCTGATAGAAATCTACTTAAGCCTTTGGTCGCAGCCTTCACTTTTTCCACCCTTGACTTCTCTGAGGTCCATTTGTAATCTCAGGAAGGAAGGCAAGTTCTTTCGTTGAAGCTGCAGGGGGACTGGGACTTTGGAAGGGCTCAGCCAGTAATCCCATGGCCTTCTAGAGAATGTTGGAATACCATAGGATTATGCCAATAAAATACTAACAGTATTTACTCATTTCACGTGTAAGCTGATATATTTTTGCTGTTCTTTTGGTTTTCTTTTATTTCAGTGTATGTGCATAGCTGTAACACAACAAACACTAACAATAATGTAATAACATATATAAGATATATACAGGAATATAAGATATATTAATTAAATCAGCCTAAATGATGCTTAAAGCAGCATCTAATGCTACCTTTAATTAGGCAAGTGTCTCTTGCCAAAACATTAAATGATATTAAATACAATAAATGTCTGACCCAGCTTTGGTGTTGTGAAAGATGAAGGAAAACGAGCTTTGATAGGTTACCATTTCAGTAACAAAAACGAAATCCTTTTAGACCAATCCTGGCTAGCCAGAGAAGCTTCATATCTCCAGACTAGCTGCTGTAAGAGCAAATGGAATGGAGACCTTGTGGAGACCTGTTCCTTATCTATTGGAAGAAGCAGTAACTTCAGGTCAAGAGATATGATCTGTTGTATAATAACCAAGATAATCCCCCAAACCTATTTCAGAAGAGCCTGTGAACTTTACAAGTTCACCACTCAGAGGCTGCCATCTTGTAGCAATCCCCATTGTTAACGAAGGCAGTGGGAAGTAAGGTGCTACCATTTGTGATACTTAAGGAAGCCTCAAATACTGCAGTTGAGGTGGACTTGAGCAGCCACTTGGTATATGTCAAGAGCCAATGTTGCAGTGCCTTTTTGAACCTACCATTTGCCGCTAACCAGGTGCTGATCAAATTGGGTCACATGGTTTCCATACTAGTTCCTGTGTAGTGAATTGTATCACTCACAATGAAAGGTTTTAAGCAACTGTCAAGTCACAAGCCAGAGTAGCAACCATCACCAAGGTTAGCAGCAAGGGTAAGCATGGCTGACATCTGCTGAGGAGCCACATCCCAGTGGGTGTCTCCTAGAGCTGCTCCTTCTCTTTACCACTACAGCTTGCCTCTCATTCTTGCCTATTCGCTCTCTGGATTTCTGCCTGTGAATCAAGATAGTGATGGCGTTCTTGAGAAAGTGAATGTGGAAGAAGAGTAGCTGTTGAAAACAGTGGTGAGAAAGGTAGACATCCATTGAGGGTGTCTTGCCAAAGAATCCTTGAACCAGCACTGACCGCCACTCTGCAGAACGTTTATATCCAGGCAAGAAATGGCACATCACATACACAAGGGTAAGAGTCAAGGCAGGTGAGCTTCCTAAGCTAACAGTCCCCACCTCCCTCAAGAAATACACCCAGATTCCATGGTCGTTTATGTTAATGAGGCTCATTAGTTTCCATGAGATTCTTCTCATTCTTTTTTTCCCTTAATGAACCAGGGCAAACATGGTTTTAAAGAATGGTACAAAGAGAACAAAGCATAAAATCAGATATTCAGAAAATAAATATAATGCTTCCCCCATCCCTTGCTACTAACACTACAGGAACTAAAGGCCAAGCTACCGTTTTAGCTGTAGCAATCAAGCCCTTCCATGTTGAGGAAGGGCATACACCTTTGAGCAGATACATGAAATTAGTGTGATCTTTTAATCATGAATGTATTTCATTCATACCTGACTTGTGCCCACACCTTTTTGACAGAAGGTTTAGGCTTGTAGAATCTCAAGCTGTGCATGCAAACCGCACACCAGAAAACCACTTGTGCAACCATTCGATGGCATTTTCAAAAATAAGCTTCAAACATATGCTGTCCTGCAATGTCTGGGAAATAAAATGATAAAGGACCTTGTTTTCCTAGTCTCACATATAGAAAACACAAGCACAGAGGGAGGGAGGAGCTTGAACAAAGTGTGTATTAGGAGGGAACATTTTATTGAACTCAAGAGGCAGAAAACTTTCTCAGAGTGATGACAATCAAGGCCACAATCACAGAAGTTCCCAGCAAAGCAGCAATCACTATGGCACCAATTGCTCCAGGACCCAGAGACCCTGCAAGTTGATAAGAGAAGGAAAACTTTTAGGAAACAAATGGCAGCTCCGGAAAAACAAGTGTGCAGAAAACACAGTAGGAGTTGTATCCCAAGAAGGCATCCAGCTGGTAGAATGGCTTCCATCAATGAAATGGGGATAGGGCATGATAGGGTAATCTCCTGCACCATCAAAATCTGAAGGTTGGGGGCCCTCTATTGCTCCTATGGGGAGGTGCATTAGGATCAGAAAGTCCATTTATGTGACAATGGATAATACCATATGTTACAGTATATACGTCTTAAAGCTGCGGTTCCAGGAGGAAAGTATCACTGAACTGGCCTGAATCAGTGTAAGCAATGCTGCATCTAAACCCCTTCTGTCATATTCTCTAAGCCAGTGGTTGACATCTATATTTAGCGGAGAGGCCGATCTAGGTCAGAGCATAAGGCTAAGGAGCTATGGCTCTTTTCCTCCTACTTATGTACTTGCTGACATCATACATACTTATAATTGCTTGTTGCAGCAAAAAGCTCCAAGCTAGCATAGTGCACTGACATTTCCAGAAGTAGTAACTACAGGAAGCCACAGGGAATGATGATGGCATCATTGTTTATATATCGCCAAGGTATATTGCAGGTACCACAAACAAAAGCAGTATTGGTTGAAAGGAGAAATGCTCAATAGCTCCCAGTCTGTACCAGATGATGTAGGAATGTTCAGAAAAGAGTGGGGCAGAGCACTGAGATGCCGAGGCTTGTACAACCCAACAGCCCAACTTGGGCTCCTAACCACATAGCGAAGCTGCAGCAAAGGCGAGGCATGTGTGCCTGCCAGTTTGAATATTCTAGTCCCACTTGAGATCGGATGGGTCATACAGTCATACAGCAAACAACAAGATGGCTGCCATATGTCTGCCACCATATAGGAAGAGGCAACTGTTTCTCCTATCAGGGAATTACCAGCATTTCCCAGACGCATGGTAAAGCAACAGCTCTTACTACTATGGTTGTTCATAGAGAGCAACGCCAGATTGGGGCGGGGTGCGTGGGCAGGCGCCGGCTTAACCGCCGGACGCAGCCTGGGGTTGGGCTGCTTTGGAGCTCCCTCCCCGGAACCTGCCACGCCGCACTGCCACCGCTGGGCCGCCCTGGGCACGGAGGACGCCAGGGCCACGCCAGGGCCTCCGTCGATGGTGCGGAGGAGGGCGCCGCCATCTCACCGCCGGGCGGGTTTCCGCGCCCCTCTCTGCTCCCCCCCCCCCCGCTGGCATCGGTGAGAGCAACGCCGGATTGGGGCAGGGCGCGCGGGCGGGTGACGGCTTAACCCGCCGGACGCAGCCTGGGGCCGGCGGCCGAAGGGCAACAGCCAAAGGGTGGTCGCTGCCGTTTGTGGCCATGCGGGGCTGGGCTGGCAGGGGGCTAGGTCGGTGGCTGGAATTTTGTATCGGGGGGGGGTAGATGGGGAGTTTATTACTGTTTTAAAGTTTTATTGTATTTTAATTTGTTTTCATGGAGTCGTCCCTGGCCATGTCGACGGTTGAGTTTCCTGGGGAGCACGTGGGCGCCGCCATTGGGGTGGTCACGGGCAATGGACATTACAGCGGTGGGGGCTTAACGTGTCCGCGTAGAAGCAGGAGGAACAGATGGCTGACACCCGTCCCTCCTTCTGGTTCTGCCCCCAGCCAGAGGGTTCCAGGTAGTCTTGTCAACCGCCCCTCGGGCCTGATGGTGCTGCTGCTTAATGCCAGGTCGGTCCGCAATAAATCTTCCCTCATCCATGACTTGATTGTGGATGAGGGGGCCGACCTGGCTTGCATAACGGAGACCTGGGCAGGAGAGAGGGGGGGATGTCGCCCTCTCTCAAATGTGCCTGCCCGGGTATCTGGTTAAGCACCGTCCACGCCTGGAGGGGAGGGGAGGGGGGTCGCTTTGGTTTATCGAGCCTCCATCTCCCTCACGGGTCTTCCAGTCCCTTCGAGACCAGGGCTGGAGTGCCTCTACTTGGTGTTGGGCGATCGAGACAAATTGAGGATTCTGTTGGTGTACCGTGCACCCTTCTGCCCAACAGTCTCCCTGCCTGAACTGACGGAGATTGTCTCGGACCTGGTGTTGAGGACCCTCAGGGTGTTGGTCCTGGGGGACTGCAATCTCCATGCCGAGACTGGTCTGACCAGGGCAGTTCAGAACTTCAGGGCCTCCATGACGGCCATGGGGCTGTTTCAGCATGTCACAGGCCCGACCCATGAATGTAGACGCACTCTGGATCTGGTTTTCTCAATGGGGCAGGAAGAGGGTGGTCTGAGGGTGAGGAATTTATGTCTGACACCCCTGTCATGGTCAGATCACTTCCTCGTGAGGTTTGTGCTCAAGAGCAGCCTCTCCCTCTGTAAGGGTGCAGACCCGATTGTGTGGGTCCGCCCCCAGAGCCGAATGGATCCAGACGGATTCCTGAAGGCCCTGGGGGAGTTTCCGGCTGACAAGACTGGTGCTCCTGTCGAGGCTCTGGTCGAACTATGGAACAGGGAGATGACTAGGGCTGTTGACACAATCACTTCTAAGCGTTCTCTCCCGCCAGGCAGAGCCCACTCTTCCCCTTGGTATACACCTGAATTGCGGGCGATGAAGGAGGCTGGGAGATGGCTAGAGCGTAGGAGATCACTGGATGAATCTGACCAAACACACTTAAGAGCCCATTATTGGGCCTATGCTGTGGCGGTGAGGGTGGCAAAAAAGAAATTCTTTTCCGTTTCCATTGCCTCCTCAAAATGCCGTCCGGTGGAGCTTTTTTGAGTGGTACAAGGCCTGGTCTGCCCTGGCCCTGAGAAAGATCTGGTTCCACCCTCGAAGGCCCGCTGTGATGACTTTGCCAAGCATTTCAGGGAGAAAATCACTCAGATTCATCACGAGCTAGACTCTACTAGTGATTCAGAGGCTTCTGGGGAGATACCAATGTCGCCGTCTGGTCCAAAATTAATGGATGAATTTCAGTTATTGTGGCCTGATGATGTGGACAAGGTGCTTGGACGAGTACGTCCCACCACTTGCCTATTGGACACTTGCCCATCTTGGTTAATAAACAACGCCAAGCACGGGATTGGGATCTGGATCTTGGAGGTGGTTAACACTTCTCTGAGGGAGGGTCGGGTACCTGCCCCTTTAAAGGAGGCGGTAGTCCGACCGGTCCTGAAGAAAGCATCCCTGGATCCAGAGATGGCCACTAATTATAGACCAGTGGCCAACATCCCATTTTTGGGCAAGGTGTTGGAGCGGGTGGTGGCGGGACAACTCCAAGCACTCTTGGATGAAACTGATTATCTGGATCCATTTCAGTCCGGCTTCAGACCCGGGTATGGTACTGAATCTGCCTTGGTCGCCCTGTACGATGACCTGTGCAGGGAGAGGGACGGGGGAGTGCGTCCCTGTTGGTTCTTCTGGACCTCTCAGCGGCTTTTGATACCATCGACCATGGTATCCTTCTGGATAGGCTAGCGGGATTGGGGGTCAGAGGCACTGCTTTGCAGTGGTTCCGCTCCTATCTCAATGGCCGATTCCAGAAGATGGTGCTGGGGGACTATGGCTCTGCACCATGGCAGCTATGCCATGGAGTACCGCAGGGATCCATTTTGTCCCCTTAGCTATTTAACATCTACATGAAACCGCTGGGAGAGGTCATCAGGAGGTGTGGGCTGCGGAATCATCAGTACGCTGACGATACCCAGCTCTATCTCTCATTTTCCACCAATCCAGGTGAGGCAGTGGCTGTGCTGAACCAGTGCCTGGCCGAGGTAATGGGCTGGATGAGGGCCAATAAACTGAAGCTCAATCCAGACAAGACGGAGGTCCTGTTGATTGGCAGATCGGGCTTCGGGGAGGGTGAATTGAACCTAGTCCTGAATGGGGTTGCACTCCCTCTTAGGGACAAGGTTCGCAGCTTGGGAGCGCTCCTCAACCCAGCTTTCATTGGAAGCTCAGGTGACAGCGGTGGCGAGGAGCGATTTCTTTCAGCTTCGGCTGATCCATCAGCTGAGTCCCTACCTGGAGTACGACTGCCTGGCGACAGTGACACACGCATTGGTGACTTCCCGACTTGACTTCTGTAACGCGCTCTACGTGGGGCTACCCTTGAAGACGGTCCGGATACTTCAATTGGTTCAAAATAGAGCTGCCAGGCTGCTGACGGGGACTGGGCATTATGTTCACATGACTCCAGTCTTCCGTCAGCTTCATTGGCTTCCCATTGAAGTCCGGGTCCAATTCAAGGTGTTGGTGATGACCTATAAAGCCCTAAACGGCTTGGGTCCTGGTTACCTGAAGGAGAGCTTACGTCCATATATGCCCGCCTGCCCCTTGAGATCTGCGGGAGAGGCCCTTCTCTGGGAACCCTCCGTGAAGGAAATTAGGAGGGTGAGTATTCGGAGGAGGGCTTTCTCTGCAGTGGCGCCCGATCTATGTAATGCCCTCCCCAGAGAGGTCCGCCTGGCGCCGTCGTTATTTCTTTTTCGGCGCCAGACAAAGACCTTTTTATTCAAATGTCATTTTAATTGTTAATAGTATTTATTCATTTTATTCTTTGGCCAGGGCGACTTAATTTATACTGTTAATTTATATTATTCTATGGAAGTTTATTTATGGATGTGAGCCGCCTTGAGGCTTCGGCGAATGGGGCGGCATAAAAGTCTCCTAAATAAATAATAAAATAGAGCACTTCTTTGTCATCTCGGAAACCACACTCCATGGTGGGATCATTATTGTTTCTGTTTTCCAGATAAGAGTAACTTGTTGAAGACCACTGAGATTGCCCAAGTAATTTGCCCAAGACCAGCCTGGGATTCCACTGTGGTCAAAGATTTGGGTTTAGATCTTCTAGTTCTAAGTTCTATCTTGGCTGCAAAAATGTGGGATTGGAATGCCTAGGACAGGGAGAAGGACTAGCAGTGCAGTGAGAAATTTCTGTTGATTCAAAGTTTTGCAGGGGGTTATTAACATAAGTACACTTTGGAGAACATCTGGAAAACCCTCACTTTTAATCTGATTCTCCTTTCTGAGTGTCCAGGTATATTTTGGGACTGCTCACTTTTGCTTTTGACTCTACCTAATTCGGCTCAAAGTGATTTGGTCAAAAGCAACCAGAGATGGTTTGCAGCTGCACCTGCTTCCCCTGAAAGATTTTTTCACCTCAAGGTGAAAAATATTTCTCTATTCTGCTTTAGCAGAAATCGATAGGATGTCCGCTTAAGCATCTCAACAGAACCAATTGCTGTGATCTCATGCACAAAAAAATGAAGCAGTGCTGCTAAGCACTACCTCTGAGAACACGTACCATTCCCATTATCCAGCTGGGGGAGGTGAGTTGTGTCCTCTGGCTCATAATCAGAAGTGTATGGTGGAAATCCTGGAGCATCTGAGAAGCGGGTAGCGGTGGTGGTTTCTAAGGGCCCTCCACCTGATGGCAGCTCTGGGGGATCATTCCACAGTGTTGGCAGAGGTACTTGAGGATATTCTGCTGGAACAAAACATATCAGTCCTGTTAGTCCCTCAACAATTCCTCTAACCTCTAAAATAAAGCTGATGACGTATCCCTGCTTCATTCAGCAATTTCATCTTACCAGCAGCAGATATGCTATGTCAGGCTGTGAGCGAAGAATAAACAATGTTGCCCTCTTCTGGATAAAGCCTTAAAAGCTATTCATTGTCCCATAGGCCTGAGTTTCTAACCTGCACCAGCACCCTAAGAGCACTTTCAGATGCCCATCTCTCTTCCTTCTACAGACAGTTCTGTCCTCTTAAGATTTAGGGCTCACGCACAAGAGATGGCTCTTCACGTAATTTTGCATTCTGAAGAGCAACAGCTCACATTCTATCTGCAAAGAAAAAGTATGTGTTTTGGCAAAGCACCTTTGGAGGCTTTCATAGGCTTATTTTTTTTTAAAGGCCAAAACTCACTGGACATACTGCTCTAGACCAAAGCGCGTAGCAGCAGTCCAAGCAGGGGCAATTCAGGCTGTGGTGGGGTTGGACTGCCCTCCTAAATAACGGTTCAGCAGCAAATCATCACATGCTCCTTGTTGCCAGGCGGAACCGCACTTGCATGGCGCTTCCAAGACTGCAGTCCTCTTTGTGAAAACTGCCACCTGGCAAAATCACTGTGATTTTTGCTGCTATGCAGAAGGCATGTGGTGCTCACCACTGCTGTAGAAGGTGTATTTATTCTCTCTCTCTCTCTCTCTCTCTCTCTCTCTCTCTCTCTCTCTCTCTCTCTCTCTCTCTCTCACACACACACACACACACACACACACACACACACACACACTGTCCACTAGGTAAAGTGCTCTGGGCATTTGACAACCATTCATAAAACAAGTATGATAAAATGCCATATTTTTCCCCAGAATACAACATGTAAAAACAATTTAACAGGTAACACTATACATGCATCAGAGTAAACCTGTTGAATTACCAGATGTGGGCACTCCCTGGAAGCCCGTAAGAATCCTTGGAGGTCTTGCCATGCCTCAGCAGACAGGGACATTTTAATCTGGCACTGCAAGAATGGCAAAGCTGGTGCCAGGCAGGTTCAGTGGGGAGATCATTCCACAGCTGGGGGCTTCCACCCAGAAGGTGCCACCCTTGGTGCTGCCCTCTGAGTCTCCCTCAGAATTTGGCCTTCAGGGGAAGGCTTTTGATGTTGATCAGAGTAACCAGGTGGCCTGACACTGGGGAGGCACCATGATTCTCTGGAGGATAAAGCCAGCACTTTGGTCAGACTTGTAAGCAGCTAACACAGCCTGTGGGAGCAGACGAGAACTGACACTATATGGTCAAACCTAAGGATCCTGTTTGTTATCCTGGCCGCTATGTTTTGCATAAGCCACAGGTTGTGGACAGGCTGCACAGGAGGAGAAATCACTGCTTGGGCTCCCCGTAAGAGTTAAGATGTATAACATTCAGGGAAATGCACAGATCCATCCCTGATGCATTTTAGTTGCAGAAAGAGCCCAGAGGAATGTACCAAGTTGTGAATCACACAGATCAGCTAGGGTGGCCACTTACACACCAGCACCACCACACACACACACCCCTCTACCTATCTATCTATCTATCTATCTATCTATCTATCTATCTATCTATCTATCTCATCCCTCAGGATGAATATTCCATACCTATATACAATTTGCACATACTGGAAAGATACATGCCCAGGAGTGCCAAACCTTTAAAGAAAAATATGAAGAACAATACATGGAAGAGTTTGTCAATAGTTGCCCATGACTGTCAGATTGCTGGACAGTGCTGGCAGTTTGTTGCTACTAATGGCCAAAACCCAACTGCGGTCCTGGGATGCCAGTCTCCGGCAAGATTCCAAGAAAACCTCAGATCCGATCAGTATCTGTGACTTCCGTGTGGCCACATTGCACCCAGCATTCACTTTGGCAACTTGTGCAGTTGGTAGATAAGCTGCATTTCCCCAGCCACAAACTACAGTGGCATATATGCTGGGAAAATCCATCTGATAATAGTTGCACAATTATTGTGGGTGGGCAAGAAAGGGCATGTGCCTGAGCAAGTGAAAATCTTTCCACTGTGACTTGCTTGCATTTTCCCAAGTAATGCTCAGCTTTGGCTACATGATTGGCTCCTTGCTCAGGCTTGCTTGCTCCTTGCCTTGTGCAAGTCCTCGGAAGTCAAATGGCAGCAGAAGTGATGGCAATTCATTTGCCACTGTGCTCTTCCACACGTGGCTTCATTTGCTCTTTTGTCTTGCTGGAGAACTTGAGACAGCCAGCTCTACCTCTCTGGGCAAGGCCTACTTGTTACCCACAATCCGCTCTGATGGCTTTTGCTTGTCAGCCTGGATGATCCACTTTTCTTTGATTTGCATGCTGAAGGCCTCTGTGCTTTGGCTGGGTTTGAAAAATCCTTGTAATGGCTGAAGAAGAGTGCGGGCAGTGAGCAGTTGTAGGATTAGCAGGGCCTGTGCACTGGCCATCGCTTCCCCGCCCACAGCACTAGCTTCTCACTCCCTCTGTCTTCTGCCAGGGCCGTACAGGCAGGACACCCAGCCCTGGCAGTAGAGTAGACAGGAACCCAGACCCTCCCTTGACTGTGCCCCCGTGATGCCTCCTCAGGTGAGATTCCAAGAAAACGGCGCTTGCTTTGATGTTGCAATCCATGTCCTGTTTTCCCCCCTAAGCGGGCTCTGGAGAGACTAAAAAAGCCTTTTCTGTTTATATGCGGCTGGACCCAGAAGGCAGCAATCAATGCTCATTTTGTTCAGGCGGGATGAAGCAGAGGCCCCAGCAAGAACTGGAGACATTCTGCAGGGCCCTGGTGAAACTGCTGGAAATGTCACACTGAGCTGAAAATTGCAGCAGAGCATCCAAAGCTATCTAATCACAGAAGGTGAACATCTGACCTATGGAAAATCAACCTGAAGCCCAAAGGTAACAGCAGCTTGCCAGTCAACAAAGCAAGAAGATACAGAACGTTGTGGTTTGTTGCTGTTATTAGTATAAAAATGCCATGAGAAAGAGAAAAAATGTTTAAGGACATCTCACTGCAAGCTCACAGACAAAAAGCCACTTGGTGACAGGAGCACATCTGGGGAGCAGGTCTGGAACACAGCACTGCTGAAGCAAGCAAAGTGGCCGCGCTCACTACTCACCCTTGACAGCACAGCTGCACAGATCGGCAGCCAGTCTAGCTCAGTATAAAGCTGCTTCTCATAAAGGGATAATATAATTATTATTTTTATATTCCACCTCTTTTCCTACAAGGAATGAAAGTGGCTTGTATAATCCTCTGCCTCCTCTCCATTATATGTTATTAACTTGTTTGCTTCCTTGCTTGTTTGTTTGTTTATTAAAAGCTTTTCTACCCTATACAAATGTCTCAGGACGGCTTCACAACAACCCTGAGGTAGGTCAGGCTGAGAGTTAGTGATTGGCCTAAAATCACTCAGTGAGGCTGAATGGGAACTAGAATCCAGATCTCCTGATTTTTGGTCCAATACTCTACTTGCTACTGTGGTGTGGAGGTTAAACACAGCTTGTTGATTAGAATTTCTGGACCACTGAGTGGAAATCATTACACAAAGTACGGTTAGCAATGCACAGCAGCTTGGCCAAACCAACCGTTACCAGTTGGCTGTCATCCAATGTTACCCTCTCTTATTGACCGCACCTTACACCTCAATTAAGGAAAACTGCTGTGTTCAGGGGATACTCTGCTCAAAACATATGGAAATACCTTGACATATAAGCATGGCCAAGCCTGCTTCCAATTTCCCCACACATGGTAAATGCACCAAAAAGGGGCACTGTATTGCCCAAAGGTCTGCAATCATTCAGGCGATGCAAGAAGTGTGGCCCTTGGGCTGCAACAGCAGCATCAAGGGTTCTTCACATGTTAGCATCAGCAAGGGAATCCACTTCCTTATCCCCAGTCTGATTGGAGATATGGAAGGGACTCCCTTGCTAATGCTTGCAAGATAAACCCTTTCCTTACATCTAATCTCTGATGAGAGATCAGAGATAAGGAAGGGATACGCTTTCTAGAGAAACTGCAGGGATGAGAGGGCTTCTTATGAGAGATTTGAAATACAGACATGATTCCCTGAACTCTGATGAGATCAGTTCCCTTGCAGTAGCCCAAAGAGGGCTGTATGCACATTTGTACCTGTGTATGGGGACATGGGCTACCCCCTGGCAGTACCTGATGTGGCCTTCAGGCCAAAGAGCTTCTGCGCTAGGCAAATACTACTTACACTAGCTAATAAAATTCTACTACTTCTGATATAAAGCAACTCATAATTTGGGTCCTAAGACCCACCGTGTACTCAATATTTGGAAAGCGGATGCCACTTTTGTCAGACCATTGAAGTATGCCTGGAATGGTCCCAAAGTAGCCAATAAGAAAAGCAAGTGAAATATAATTCCTGTGTCTTGAACATCCTGCTATATGGTTGTGGGAAATGACCATATCTGATCATTAAGGTACGAAGTTTAACTTCCACCGTTGTTGCTCCAGCATGTTGCATTGTTGCTAGCAAGGTAAAATGCAGAACTTTTTGCCCAGGCTGACTTTACTCATTGCAGAATTGTCTGTGGCTCTCCTTTTGAAATGGTAGTCAGTGCTAAGGGACCCAGATACCACACAATCCCCCAATATGAGGATGATTGTAGACATGACACAGGGCACTGACTTCAATTAATGAGAGGAATGGGCAAATGACAGGAACATCTGCAATCACAGTGGCTGGGCCCACCTGCAAAATAACAAGGATCAATAACTCTAAACAGAGCATCAGCTTGGAATTCCAGTTTACCAATTCATTGTATGAAGAAACACTTCTTTTTCTTCATCCTAAATCTCCCACAGTCAGCTTCTTCAGATCACCTTGGAATCTACTGTTAGAGGCGCTGGAGAAAAATGTCTCCTTCTCTACTTTCTCCAAACCCAGCATTATTTTAAACACCTCTATCATGTCTACCATCATTCGCCTTTTTTATTCCTAAGCTAAACAGTCCCAGTTGTTGTAGCCACTCATCACAGGAAAACTGCTCCAGCCCACTGAATTTTGTTTTGTTTTGTTTTTGGCCTTTCTCTGTTCCTTTTCCAGCTCAATTATGTTCTTTTCAAGGTAAGGCGACCACAATGGTACACACTATTCTAAGTGTGGCTGCACCAAGGTTTTGTATAAGGAGACTATTACCTTGGAAGTTCTGTTTTCTATTCCATTCCCAATTATTCCTAATACTGAGTCTGCCTTTTTCACAGCAGCTGCACACTGAGATGACATTTTCATTGAGCTGTCCACCACCAGCCCAAGTTGCCTTTCCTGCTCAGTCAAAGCCAAAATTGGACAGCTGCTTTCAGTAGGACTTAGTTTTGAAATCCCATAAAGCCATTACTCTCGCAGTGGAGTGGATTGGCTGGTGCTATTTGCCACCTTTCCTGCTTCTGCACTCCAGTGGGGCAACGGGGATCGATCTGTTTGAAACAGCAGTTTGGTGTGTAGATTTGCACATAATACTTAATTTCTATACTGTGAAAAGATTTTTCTGCTGATCAAGTGACTGTTCTACTTCCTCCATCCTGCCTTCATCAGTGGAATGCTTTTACAGAATTTCCAGCTATAATGCTGTGAATATCATTTCCCTTTGCACAGAAGTGCTACTGTCAAGAGAGGTGATTGGAAACTCCCAAACAAATCTTCTGAAAAATAGGTAGCACTCCAGGTG